ACACACACACACACACACACACACAGCATAATATATATTCAAACACACACGCACAGATGTACACACATACAAACAGTCAAACACAAACGCACACTCAAACGCAAACATTGAAGCAAGTGCACAAACGACAATCCGCAAATAAGAACACAAATACAAACACGTAAATACATGTACGAACACACCACTATGTCCACTGACAAGCCTTTTAAATCATTATACACATCAGATGCTCATTGTCCATGTCCTAATCCCTCTCCCTGTTCGCCTTGTCATCGGAGATAGTGTAGCTAGAAGTTACTGCTTTTTATCTAGATGCAAAGTTTGAGTGGGGGGGCTTGCTTGGCAGTCTCCATTGAGCGAAAAGCGAAAAAAGCATGAAAAATTGATATCAGCAAATCGATTTTTCTTGAAAATGCAGCTGAAAATGGGCAGGCCCCGATGCTCATCACCACCAAAGGAATGTTGGGAGAAAAACCGGCATCTGTCAGACCTCGGAGGGTCATTGTCCACAGCTACATGAGGAGCGGCTCCACTTTATGTGGGGACATTTTGCAAGTAAGTAAAATATAGTGTACCCAAAACGTCAGTGAAAATAGTGGTAGAAGGAGGGGGAAGACACTGCAAAAGCCGAGGATTGCATTGGTATCGTTACTTCTACGATAAAATCATAATACATATTGCCGATTTCCCGTTTTGCTTCTGAGGGTTTTTTTAGGGGTTGATGGGGGCGGGGAGTATTGCTTTTGTTGCTCAGGGCAAGGGTTGTTGTTTAGTTTTTTGGTTGTTTTTAAGGGATTTTTTTAGGGGATGTTTGTTTGGTTTGGGGTTTTTTTTTATTTCGTTTTATGCCAGTAGGTTTCAATCTATTTTTGATGGGTCTGGCTGGAGCTGTTTTTTTTTCATCTCTGCATTGTTTTGGATTCCATGTCATCATGGGGCTATGGATTTCTAGCCCCGAAATTACACTTCTAATACCATAGAAGACTATTGTTTCTTTACTCTGAATTTGACTCCAAACTGTAATTCAAGGATAATCTGGTTACCTAAAGTATCCACTGAATCAGGTGACACTCATTCGCAATCTCATACCCACACACAGCTCTTTTTAACATGCCATAGATACCTTTATCGGGGATAAGACTACCTTGAATGGCATGGGAAACCAAATGCATGTACATTGTCATTAGTCCAGTTTGAACAAGATGCAAAGAAATGCAGTCTCCGTAAAACAGTCCCATGTTATTTATGAGTTTATATTTCACTAACTACGAGTCTGTAAGGACCCAAATCACGATCTTCCCAGAAAGGGCAAGCATGTAGGTCTCTTGCTGTGTAGACATTAATGTATGGGGGGTTTTTTAAGGGGAAGGGGGGTGTCAGCAAGATTTTTTTTAACGTTTGATGTTTACCTTGTGCTCAGATGAGTTTACCTTTAGCTTCTTTTACGTGTACTTCTTTTTCAAAACTGTCTAGATCTAGTATTCGATCTGAACGTATCTTTTGATTTGATTTTGCTTAGCATTTTTCAAGAATCTTAGCGGGGACGTTTTTATTAAAGTGGTATAGACTTGAATACAAGAAGGCTATCTCCGTTTGTCTGCTGGTATTCTGTATCATGTCAGCATGGGTTGGACCTGATGAGCAGGTTCAATCTTGAATACAAGAAGGAAGGAACCAAAAAAGTTACTGACGCTTGATAAATCGCTACCTCATTATTGCAAAGTTCTATCTGACATTTTTGGCCATTTTGAGTTACTAAGTCCTTGAAATTAAAAAGCAAATATTCTATCTGCTCTATCAAAATCGTAAGATTATTCTTTGAAGATATTACAAGAATAGCATTCGTAAAAGCTTGAGATGATGTGAAACTTAAAATCTTTGACGTCAAATTTCTCAAAACTAGGTCCTGGGCTGATAAAACTTTGTAATTCTGAGAACAACACACGGGCCATTATGCTATTTCGATTATTTTTGCCCCCCCCCCCCCCTTTTCAATCAGGCCAGTCCAGACGTGTTCTATATTTATGAGCCCCTTCTCTACTTGTTTGACCACAACGTTCCTGGAAAACCCGTTTTCACTAAACATAACTTGAGGTGAGTAAAGTAACTTTAAGGACTTTTAATAACCTTTTGAGAAATCTTACTTGTGGCAATGGCGAAATGGTTAGGACCTTTGCCTTTTTACGTAGAGAACGTGGGCTCGATTCCCGGGAGGAGAGCTTTTCAATAAGTAGGCTATCTCCGTTTGTCTTCTGAGACTCTGTATCCCATCGGCTTTGGTTGCACCTGGCAAGCAGGGTCCATGCAGCGCGCCCTATAGATAGCCTCGATTGTGTTGGTGTAGAGAAGTACCATGTAAGCATATATCTCTGTCAAAGAAGTTATTTTCTTTTCAGATCATGAAATTATTCCACACGCTCACTTCAACCAGTAGTATTCGTTTTAGGATTCACTGATCTTATCATTTGCACGTTTCCCTATTAACTACATGAAATGGTTACTAAAACAATTCAATCGCTATTATATGCTGTGACCAAACAGTCTCATTTTACATGTTTAGTAAGAGGGACAACACAATGAAAATAGTACTGTGTGTTGTGACAAAAGTTATAAGGAAATAACTCACTATTCACATCAATGTTTATTTTCATTGTCATTGTCATTGTCATTCTCTCTCTCTCTCTCTCTCTCCCCCCCCTCTCTCTCTCTCTCTCTCTCTCTCTCTCTCTCTCTCTCTCTCTCTCTCTCTCTCTCTCTCTCTCTCTCTCTCTCCCTCTCTTTCTCGCTCGCTCGCTCGCTCGCTCGCTCTATCGTCCTCGAGATAAGGAATCCAACATGTACCCTCAGACTCAGGCCAGCAAGTCAGGAAAAGACTAGCATTAATTATAGAAGAACAGCATTAATATAGTTTAACTATTCTGTAAACCTGACAAAGATTGACAGTTCATGTTTTTGTGGAGGAGTGGGGTTCATTAAATGATTTGTTCTTGGTCTTTTCTTTACCAATCGTAAATTATAGATACCGCAGGCGGGGGTTATTTCCTGGAACCACTCACTCAGCTAAATCATATCTCTTGCATAATAATACTCGTACCAAAGCCGAATATTTAAATAGACAACCTTATTGATGCATGATATGTGAATCATAAGTAAATTATGCCAGCCACTGTGTATTATACATCATGACTGAAACGTTTAATTTTGCGAGAAATCAATGAATAATACATGTATCAGTTCACACCCATAGCCACAGCGAAAGATAATTCCAAGAAAAAAAAGGGATTGTCAACAATGAAACATCAACAATAAAGTACATGTTAATGCTTTATGTGATATTCATAGTATTAGTTTTGTATTGCTACAGTAGCTGCTTCTGCTTTTGCTGCAAACTGCCAGTACAAGAACTATATCTGCTGCTGCTACTACTTTGCTGGTGCTACTACATGTACTATATATACTTCTACTTCTACTACTACTATTGCTACTACTAAGAACAAAAACAAGGAGAACAAGAACAAGAACAAGAACAAGGAAAAGTAAAATAAGAAAAAGACGGCTTGCCATAAAAGTGCGGATCCATAATGTGGCTCGAAATCTATATTGGTCTCTCATGTTCTTATGTCTAGATGCATAATAAATTGCTCAACAAATTTAATTTAAATCTAGTAAATCGAATCAAACTTACGAAAATAAGTCACTTAATTCCTGATTATAATTTTATATCTTGATGAATACTAATGAAAATTCTAAATTCAGTCTAGATCAAGAGGGAAAAACAACCTTAATATGGAACGTGGGGATGACGCGCGGCGGGGAAGCATCTGGTTTGGATGACGCGTTTCGACACATGTCAAGACGATCTGCTGAAACTGAAACGACTACGTACATGTCTGGTTGGGCCAGGAAACTTCTTCCCCAGCTGCAGGTGTCCGTTTTGGAAATTGGAAAGTCTCAATTAAAACATATTTCTATATTTTTTTCAAACCTCATATTTATTGGGAACACGTATCATGCTATTTGCTATTCATTAAGCAAATAAAATAATAATTGTAAATTTTGCTTGGGAATAACACCGGCGAATCTTTCTCTCACTCTCAATCACTGACCCACTGACCTACTCACTTTCTCACTCTCACACCAACTCTCACACTCTGCCTTTTCATATATACATATTATATTCCTCTCCCTCTCTCGCTCTTTCTTTATTTCCCTTTCTTCGTCTCGCTTTTCCTTTTTTATTGTTTCGTTTGCATTATCTTCTCTCCTCTTGACGCTTTCTTTTTATATCTATGTGTGTAGGTGAAGTTGTGTAGTATGTGTATGTAAATTTGTGTGTGTGTGTGTTTTTGTGTCCGACTGTGCTTGGCCCGCTGTGTGCCTTAGTGTATGCATGGCTATAAGATAATTCGTGCGCGCATGAGTGTACGGATGGTCGCGTATGCATTACTAACAGTCTCACTGGGTATCCTTAATTCTCTCAGTTTCAGATTCTTTCTGTCTCTCTGTCTCTGACACTTCTGTCAGTATGACCTTTCTTCTGTGAATGTATGTAATCTCACCACAGCTTTCTGTGACAACTGAACAACTCTTAATCTTTCAGAGAAAGGGTGAAGCCTTCTCTAGCTGCCATCAAACCCTACATACCGCAACCTCTTGATTTCCTGACGTCTTTGTTCAGCTGCAATCTGACGAGCTACAACGTGGGTTTGTTAACAAATGTCCAAAAGAGCCGGCATTTTAACTTACAAAAATGCCCAACAAGTCGGAAACACGAGTATGCAGTCAGTCCACGACGAACAAAGGAATGTGCGAGTCACGTCCTTCCTAGGTAATCATGAGTGGGAGATTGCGTTCTCAAGTTCTCCCTCTCCTTCGTTTTCATCAAGAAGTGGGTTATTTGCACAGGGAGAAGAGGTACCCAGTGATAAGCTTACGCTTAATTTAAGCACTTGTCAATCAGATCTGTGATAGTAAAGGACCAGGTTTCGTTTAGTGCATCTGAACATTTCAAAGAAATAAGAGGCGAACCGTCCATGATATGATGTCTCTTTAAGATCTGGCACCTAAAGGAAAAGAAGTAAATAAAGAGATTTTTTCATTGGCAGCTATTTTTTTAGAAGGGAGGGGGGCATCTTATTACTGTTCTTTATTAATTTATTACTTTCGGTCTTTCCTTCTTTCTGTTTTGCTTTTAGTATCTATTTATCCGTCTTGATTTACATTTGTCGTGATATCAAATCATCTATACAGCTATTACATATGCATTTAGTTATGTGTTATTCATGTATTTGTTTGTAGATTTGTTCAATTATCTATCTATCTATCTATTTATTTATCTATCTGTCTATCTATCTATCTATCTATCTATCTATCTATCTATCTATCTATCTATCTATCTATCTATCTATCTATATATATATATATATATATATATATATATATATATATATATATATATATATATATATATATATATATATATATATATATATATCCATTTTGTTTATTCGTTTACCCTTACATGCATTTGCGTATCAGATGCAAGGAGTCCGGTACAATCGTCCAGAAGGTGCTACGGCTGACGATGAAAGAGACTGTAGAGTACTTAGAGAGAGACCCGGATGTTCTTGTCATCCATCTCGTCCGAGACCCCCGTGGGGTGTATCTGTCTCGTAAACAATACCAGCCTCCTAACGTGCCAGAGATGCATGTTAACTACAGCAACTTGTGCCAGCGTGTGTGGAATGATCTACATGCCTCCATGTCCATGCCAGCGAAATACAAGGGTAATCAGTTATAACGGCTTCATCATCATCACCATCATCATCTTCTTCTTCTTCTTCTTCTTCTTCTTCTTCTTCTTCTTCTTCTTCTTCTTCTGCAGCAGCAGCAGCAGCACTCATCATCATCAATTCCAGAACTTGCCAACTATGACGGCATCGCAAATAACTATCCAGTAACCGCCATCTACTCCGTTCGATTATTGGACTTGCTCACAGCCTCATATCGTCGGCCGAATATTCAGATGTACTGAGCCCAAAGTTTGTTTTTTTAATGCAGTTTCTTAATCTGTTGTATAGATTGCATATTCTCGGGAAATATTTGGTAAAAATTCTAATTCTCAATATTGCAAAAAAGGAAGTAAAGATACATACTGTAGGCACGCTAAAAGAACTGAATGAAATTCTCTCTCTCTCTCTCTCTCTCTCTCTCTCTCTCTCTCTCTCTCTCTCTCTTTCTAGCTCGCTCGCTCGCTCTATCGTCCTCGAGATAAGGAATCCAACATGTACCCTCAGACTCAGGCCAGCAAGTCAGGAAAGTGATATTTGGAAAAGACTAGCATTAATTATAGAAGAACAGCATCAATATAGTTGAACTATTCTGTAAACCTGACAAAGATTGACAGTTCATGTTTTGGTGGGGGGGGGGGGTAATCCTGCTTTCTGGGCTTAGGACGTTTTAACAACTGTCGACAATATGATTTCAGACCTGTCTGTTCTTAGATGTTATTCTTTTATAATTAATTTCCTTCTGCATTCCTCTCCTTTTGCCGCCTTATACTGTAGCCTGCAGGACAGTGTTGCTAGTCCATGTGATATCATTTACTATGTTGGTTAAATATCTTACAGTGGTCAGTCAAAATCGACCATGCCTACGTGGAATATCTGGAGGTGTCATCTCTGACTCAGAGGTTGACGTGTAATAAACTTCCTTTAGTTTTTAGCTTTGATAAGAGTTTTACGGCGCTTGCAACACAATATGGCCAAATAAGTGCCGAAGATTAGAAGTGTTACAAGAGAGTAACAAACACAAAAATGGAGGAGAGACAAGGATTATATATCTTTGGAAAGAAGAAAGGAGGAAACCACACCAGAGCACTCACCAACCACCTGCAATGATACTCCATCCTTCACGGTTGCGAGCTACCGTTGCACTTTCTGCTTTTCCCAGGCCAGTCCGTGTTTTTATGGTGTCCATCCATGTTACTCGTTGTCTTCCCCCTGGCTCTCCTGCCCCACATCCTTCCTACAAGCAACCCCTTTCACAATGGTCTTGTGTTGTTTTAAGTGATCAAAATATTGCATTCTTCTACATTTTATTTCATTAAGCAGAGTTTGTCTTGTGTGGAGAATCTGACACAAAGAAAGAAAGGAAATGTAAGTCTGAACATAAACCACAGCTTAGAGCAGAATGTATAGCCTAGTCTACCTTTAACTTGTGTTTGATGTTTCCATCTCTTATCAAGGTCGTGTTCTCACTATGCGATATGAAGACCTTGCTGAAAATCTCCAAGCCATGACAACGACAATGTACAGATTCCTCGGACTCGAGCTCAGTCAATCAGTGCTCAAGTTTCTGTCATCTACGAGTCAAAGGGAAATCATAGCAGCGAATGGTAGACCAGAAGGTAACATAACTATTGCGGTTTTGTTCCTGTACTCTTCACTCACTTCTTTAAGAAAACAAAACGATTTTAATGCCATAGCTTTAAATTTGAAACCCAAGCAACAAACTTTTATAATCTGACTGAAAAAGGGGACCCAAGACTAAGTTGTTGAAGGGAGGAGGGGGGAGGGGGCAGCTGGTCAAGAGGAATTGGCTCAGAAACTTGGACTGTTGACAATTTACTCTGGTTTGTTTTGCCTTTCAAACACTCCAAAGAAACTGAGATTTGAGCTTCATCAAGATAAGATTCTTTTAAATTATAGGTATGTTCTAACAATTCTCTAGTTTTAGTTTTTGTTAGAGGTTTCCGGAACTTGTAACACAATAAGGTCATAAATATAAGTGCGGAAGATCAGAGGTATTACAAGTGAGTAATACACACAAAAAGAATGAGAGATAAGGACGATAAATGTTTGATATCAGCGGTATCCACCTGAAAACTATATCCATTTTTCGTCATTTACCTTCGGAATAGTCACAGGTTTACAAGTTTTCGACTCAAAAATGTTTTGGATTCAGTGAAAACAAAAGGTTCGACTCAAACCTTAGAAGCAAAAGAAGCTACAAGACAAGGGAAATCCATGCATGTAAAAAAGACATCAGTAGGGTTGATGCATTATTTATACCAACAAAGCAGTGAACCAGTTGAAGCCAGCGGAGTCTCGTCAAAAGGATTTCCAGCCTTTTGTTTTGAAGCGTTTCCTTAACCCTTTTGTTCTCTCTCCACAGTATCGTCGACAAAACGGAAAGACCCTTTCAAAACTGCCTACAAATGGAGAAAGGAGCTTCCTTTCGACGTAGTGAAAGACATTGACCATCACTGCAGGGATATTTATCGAGCTTTGGGATACAAGACTTTCAAGTCCGAAACTGACTTGAGAAATTTGCAAATACCACCGAAAACGAAGAACTTTGGTCAGGGGCTGCTCATTGCTAAAGCATGATACAGGTCTTTCAGAAATTTATCTGCAGTTGATTGGTCAAGATTGTTTTTCTGTCAATCATACTTTGGACACATGTAGATGAAGAATGTCGATTTGAAGCTTGCCAAAATACGGCGCCTTGGAATAGCATGAATTTATTTATTTATTTATTTATTTATTTATTTATTTATTTATTTATTTATTTATTTATTTATTTATGTATTTATGTATTTATGTATTTATTTATTTATTTATTTAGAACAAGCTGGTATTGTAGAGGGATAGAAGACAATAAGGCCATTTGAAGACTCCACAGGACAAATCTGACAGTCACAATTTTTTCCCCTTGCTGCATTCTTTGAAAACCGAACTTTCTCCTCTGCCGAACTTTCTCCTCTGCAAACCATCGCACAGATAACCCAGCTGAGTCCGGTGATATGTAAGGTTAAATGAAAATGATACACCGGTACTCACTTTAAGATACAGACTTTTCCATTTTTTTAAATTGTGACTTAGGCTACCTGGGTTTTTTTCCACTGGATTCTTCTTTTAGACTGGGGCCCCAGCGTTAAGGTTAATGCTGAGGCAGGAATGTTGGTGACATGATATGTAAGAGGGTGTTCAGTGGAATTTGTCTCTGAACAAGACACGTCAAACCTACCTTTAAAAATGATAGCGTCTAATGATACGGTGCTATGCAATCTCGACGATCAAGGGCACGTTTGTAGTGTCTGTATTCTGATATTTAATTGGTGCAATACAATGTATGTGGTTTGTTGTAATAACAATCTCTAGCTTTTTTATGCATGCGTTGCTCTTAAGATCACATCGAGAGGCATCTTATGGAATGGAAAGAGCTCCTGGCTGTTGAGTTAATAACAATAACATCAAAGAAATTAGGAATAGTCCAATTGAACTCCATCTGCGGCGATGGATCTGTTATGTTCTGGGCTTTTTCCAATAACTAAATAGGGACACTGTTTGTCCATTTCTTTGTGTTACTGCTCCAGTTTATCTGTTTACTTTTGGCGTGTTTTGTGTATACGTGTGTGGGGGGGGGGGGGTCTTTTAGAATGGGGTGAGTTGATAGGGTGTTGTTTAGTTTTTATTTGTGTTGGGTTTTTCCTCTCGTTTGTGAGATGAATAGTGTTGAAAATTGGAAGTACTCTTGAAAATTTATTTGTCCCTCTTTCTCTTTCTCCTTGACACTTTTTAACATGAGAAGGAAAAATGCGTATTTTTATTGCACACAGATAAATAGACTGCTCGAAACCACTTGTCTGATCAGATAACGTGCTAGACTTGTTTTCCAATTAACTGTTTTCTACGTCTTAAACAAAATAAAATCAAATAGTTAATGTTTACAAATTTATCTTGAGCGCGTGGAAGCTCACTTCAAGTTACCCATTGGATCGTAGAGAAGCTCTTGATAAAATCGCCATTTCCCTCACGGCACAAGACAGCAAGAGCAGTAAACATCCTTTTCTTTTTTTTTATAACTAATGAACAATTTGTTCTCAAACGTCTGGGCAGACATCCTTTAAGGCACACTAAAGGCAATTTCGAAAAAAGAGTAACAGTCATTTCAATAGTGTCTTCTCAAATTTTCTTTAGCGCACTTTTCCAAACAGCTTCAGAAATTAATCAGAAGGTTCAGTAGCAGCGAAAGGTTATCCTTGAGCTAGGGAAAAATTAGATGTGTATTCTTTCATCAACAGCCGTCACTGTAAGCTTCAAGAAGCGCGCAGAATGGGTTACTTTTCAGGCTCAGAAGAGTCAAGGTACGTAACCTCGGAGTGAGAATGTACCAATTTTACGAATCCAGTATTGTCCCTTGTCTACCTCATGTAACATTATTATATCTTATATATTTAGCAACTTGGAAACACGTGTCATGTTTTCCAATAAAACTACGACAGCTACAGGGTTTAAAGTTGACAAGTACTTGCAAAAAGATAGATAGGTCCCCAAGACGGAGCCCTATTTTTTTCCATTTGCTGAATTTAGAAAAATATATTTGACAAAAGTTCCCGTACTTCTTTGACCTTTTCCACTGAGAAACGAAACAAATCTGCGTAGCTGGCCTTCAAAACAGAAGTGCCGGAAGTGATATTTCGTGAGGTGAATTTTGTTTTAAAAGTATATAGGCCTATCTAGACCTTCAATTTTTTTGCATCTTTCAAGATTAATTGCTCCATTCCGGTAGAATATAAATATAGTAGGCCAATGACTTTCAGTTGATGTTAATGCACCGACATTTCCTTTCATCGAAAAGGGGCCCAGCTAGTATTATAATATTTTGTGTGTGGGGCAGCATGGTGAAATCTAGCGCTCGTCAAAATAATGAAATCGAAAAAACGGCATTTTTAACAGTTTAGGTAATATTTATCAAATTTTAGTTGTTTTTTTTACTTTTTTGTCCATTTAAAAACAGTTCTGTTTGGATTTCGCTGAAAAACTTTTAAAGGCACGTAAATAGGAAATTTTCAGTTTCCAAGGATTCTCAAGCTATGGAGGTCGCCATACTTTGGCGGCCATTTTCGCGCTGATTATTTTAAACTAGAAACTGGCGATCTCTCTTACTTCAATGCAACTATCTCGACTTTTATTAAAGTGTGTGTGTGTGTGGTGGGTATCAGGTACAGAAAGCAGAACACAGTCGACGCCACATTTGTCAGTCCTTGGCATTCCTCGGTCATTTCACCAAGCTTTGAAAAGTTAAAGCCTTGGGCGCTTGCCTCATCTCTGATCATACTCCAAATATGCTTAATGTCCCTATCTTGTCCTTTTTATTATCAATCATATTGGTATTTTCAACCCCAGCTCTTTCCCAAGAAACCAAGATAGCACTAAAAGTCAACATGAACACTATTATAAAAATGGGTAATTTTATGGGATTGCCAAAACTAAACTGTCACAGTCAAGACTCAAGACAGTTTGTTTTCGTCTCTCAAAAATGTGTGAAGTACATGTATTAGGCCACAGTCCTTCCTATCAACTATTCATGTACTGGGTTTGACACTGACAATTTACAACCAAAAAAAACCTGGAGATTTACGTTACTTGTGTAAGTATGCCTTGAACATAAATTATGTTTATGATATGAAAGGTTGGCAAATAGCAGCCTAACGCTTTTTGGTTCTCTGTAAAACTTTATTCTTTTTTTTGGTGTTTTAAGGTTTTAAGGCCTTTCAATGGGAAAAGGGGTGGCAGAGGCCTGATCCCGGGGGATGGGAGGTGGGGGATGGGCAAGCACGTTTTCTTCCGCTTGATATTTACTTTCATTCTGTTGATAATTTTTATTCTTTTCCTCATTTCAACACCTCAAAATATTTGGAGGATCTAGCAGGCTTATCATTGTATTACACAATGTTCCTATATCATCTGAAGTTGTTGTGAATGTTTTTGTTGATGGTGGGGTTTTTTTCTTTTTTGGTTTTGTTTTTCGTGTTGAATTGGGATTTATGAAAATACTTTTGGAGTTGATCATAAAGAATCTAACTCTAAGGATCTAGCGTTGTTGGGGGTTTTTTCTTCTACCGTTCTTCTTTGTCCTGTCAGCCCGCACACAGAGCAATGAGATACAGATAAATCACAAATGGCGAAAAGAAAACGCCGAGATCGACATAAAAAGTCACACTGCATATGTTATTGCGCTATTGAAACCATTCAGGCTTCAATATGAAGATTTAAGATATTGTCAGCACCGCCTTGTTATTCCGTGTCAGTGCACACAGTCGGTAAGAAGCTTCTGAAACTCCACAGCCGGGATTTCGAACCGACATTCAGCCCTGCACTGATAAGACTTGATTATATTATTGAGCCAACACTAATGGAATGGAAACTCTTTGCTCCAATATGACAACTCCTTCTCGGCTGGTCTCGCAGGAGCTGCACGGAGTTAAATATAATATCCTGGATTTGTAGGCACAATTTTTATTTTTATACTTATCATAAAAAAGAAGAGGAAGAGATGAGAGAGAGGAGGAGGAGGAGGAGG